AAAAATATTTTTTTCGTATACATAAAATTTTCTAACATTTAATCTATAGAAATATATCTTAATAATCTCAATATTATTTAACTTTTAAATTATATTATACTTTAATAAATTTATGACTATTAAAATTTTTTTAACTATTTTTGTAGACATAATATTTATTAATAATATATATATAATAAATAAAATGTATTTTTCCAATAATATAGACAAACAGTATGAATCATATGATTATTTTTTGTATTTATATAAATTAGTTACTGTATTATATGTACGTATATATTATTGTAGTTTAAATATATATCAATAGTTTGGGTAAATGTATTCAAAGTGTGTATATTATTATATAAGCTGTATATATATGTGAGTCCTTAATAAGATAATAAAAGACAACTAAATAATAGACTCTCTCTCTCTCTCTCTCTCTCTCTCTCTCTCTCTCTCTCTCTCTCTCTCTCTCTCTCTCTCTCTCTCTCTGCAAATCAATGAATGAAAGGGAAAGGGATGTCGTCGACTGTGTGATGGCCTAAACGTGACATAAATTTTTTTTAGCTATCATTTATTATGTAACTCATATATTATGACTTATATACTGTATATAAATTTATATCATATAATAACAATACTGTATACTTGAATGCTTTCATTTCTATCAACAATATATATATAAATATAAATATATTATAATTTAATATTGTATTTACAAAAATAAATGATAACTAACATTATACACAAAAAAAATTACATAAATTCATAAAATACATATCAATTTAAACAAACAAAAAATAAATACATAAAATGTGTTGCGAAACATATCTATAAAAAATGATTTTTTAATGATTATATCAACAAAAAATATGTGACATTTTTTTGTTATATAATATTTATTTTACTATTTTATTTTTTTGCTATACATATCGCATATTTTTTTATTTTGATTGTGTATACCAACTAAATAATATATATATTATTTTTTTGGTGCTAACTATATATGTCATAAATGTCATCAAATTGGATAACCCTGAATAACTAACTAACTATAATATATATATATATATATAAAGTTTATATATATTTATATATATAACTGAATCATTGTTCATCTATCTGTATAATAATAATAATAATATTATTATTATTACGGGTAGTCATACTGTATATATATATGATATCTTAATAGACATAACTAGTGTGCCGTCAACCGGACTGACCATCAAATTATTATTATTACAGCATTTTTTGGTGTTGTTGTTGTTATACACAACTAGAGTGACCAACAAATAAGTATTTTTACTAAATCCTGTATAATATTTTTTACTTTATTTTATATAATTATTTTCTAATTTAATATATATATTATATATAATTTGTTTGTTTGTTTTACCATATAAAAATTTACTATAAATATATACAATTAAATAATAGCTTATATATATTTTAAATTATTATATTTAAAAAAATATATACAACTATATGTATTTAACCAAAAAAAATAATAATAATTATCTAATATTTCATTATTTAATTTTTAAAAAAATTAATATATAGCTAATTCTAATAAAGTTTATTCAATTTATTTTATTTAATTTAATTAATTATAATTATAATTAGTAGATATTATTAGTCTAATTAATTTTTTTATGTGTGTGGATAATACAGTAGATTATAAAACCTGTATAAAACCATGGATATGTTAGTCAGTCATAGTTGCACTGGTATGTCTAACAACAAAAACTATTATATATGTGTCGGTGCTATGATATGATATGTCTGGTCCTCCGACACTACTACTACTACTACTAAATATCATTAACTACTGGCAAAAAAATGACATCAACATTATGTACGCTCCAAATAATAATAATATTATTATTATTAATATTAACAGTAAAACTGTTAAAAAAAAATAATTGTTATGTCTTAATAATATTTCACAGTTCATCCATTAACTGTATCCTAACTGTCTGATTGTCTATACCAGTGAGTGGACAGTTGTTTTTATTTTCATACACACACACACACACACACACACACACACACACACACACACACACACATACATGCAATATATATAACATATCATATAATGTAAGATCATATCAATGAGAAATTATTAATTATAGTTTTAACAGTTAGTTGATTGTGTCACACCTATTGTATTAATACTATATTTTTTTGTAAAATATAAAATGTTTTATATATATATATATATATATGATATATAAATAATATTTTTGTTTCTAAGTGTGTGTGTGTATGTTATAGATATATATATATATAAATAAGCAAAATAAAAAAGTATATTAAAATTATTATCATTTTTCAATTTAAATTAAATTATTATTATTATAAACGTGATTCAAAATATAAATGAAATATATATATATATATATTTTTGTTGAGATAAAATTGAAAATTGAAAAAATACATTGCACTTGAAATTTTTTTTTGTTCAAAAAATACTAAATAATTTTCAATAATAATATTATTTTTATATAGAGATTATATATATATATATATGTTTGTGTGTGTATCTGAGTAAACAACTTATTATAAATCTTTTATTTACTTAATCTATTTTTTGGTTTATATTTTTAAAATAAATAAAAAATAAATTAATTGAAAAAACTTTATTATTTTAGTTTTTTTTGTTGGTATTAGTTTGCACTTGAAAAAATAATAATTTTATTTAATTTGTTTTTTTTGTCAATATACTAGATGTAGACATAGATTATATTATAGCAATTTATTTTTTTTTTGAGATTTAAATCTATATAATATATCCTATATAAACATAAGTATATATACAGTATATATATATTAATAAATATATAAATATATTAAAAAATATATAAGTATTTTTCAAATATATATATATTTAATATGTGTTTGAAAGTGATAGATATCAGTTAATATTAAGTGTTTATCAAAATATTATTATTTTTTTAGATATAATATTATTAAAAAATATATATATATAGATTTTATTTTTTAATAAATATTTAAATATTTTTAGCAACAAAACTATTAAATTATAAACTCAACTAAAAAATCAAATTAAATTCAAGTATTTTTACAGTATATACTGTATATTTAATGTAAATTATTTAATATTAATATATATATATATATATATATATTTATATTTATATTAAAAATCAAACATAATATGATATTATCAAAAAAAATTAGTTGACAAACATAAAAAAATAAATAAAATAAAATAAATTACATATAAATTAACAGTTAATGTGTGTATGTGTGAGGCGACAGATGTTGTGTGTGTGTGTGTGTGTGTGTGTGTGTGTGTGTGTGTGTGTGTGTGTGTGTGTGTGTGTGTGGTTTAAACAACATTAAATGCGATTATAATAATTGTAATAAAAAAAATTAACTACCAATAAAAAATTGCAATGCAAATAAATAGTTTACTAACTAAAAAAAATAAATTACTATAATTTTCATCTATATAAAGTTTATCATAAATTTTTTTAAATATTAAATATTTTTTTTTTAAATAATGCTATTGATTTTCATCAGTTAAGGGATAATCATAGATACCAAGTGTGTGTGTGGGGGGGGAGGGGAGGGAAGTCATAATCTATAAATAATTGTTGGCATATTATACCGCTTACATGCATTTAAATTTAATTAACAGTTTTTAATTGCTAATTGTATTACAATTATAATACTAATATTTAGATTAATAATTTAGATATTTTATTAAATATTATATAATACAACAACAAAAAATATTATAAATTATGCATACAAAAATTATTATTATTAAATTTACAGTTATAATTTATTATGTATTCTAATTTTAATTTATATTTAAAAAAAAGAGTATTGCATTTATTATTGATTGTAAATCTAATTTAGAAAATTATAATTTTTAAATAAGTAATAATTATTCATTATTAACTATTGTATAAACTATTATATTAAATATATTATATACTATTATTACTATAATAAACTTAACATAATATATTTTTTAAAAAAAATAATTTTAATATAATATGTTGGTATACTATATAAACTATAATAATTAATTATTATTTAACTATATATATATAGATAATAATTTAATTAAAAAAAACACTACATCAATAAATTATTAATTAACCCTGGTATTGTTGTTGTTGCTATTACTTATGGTATTATATATATATATATATATATATATATATATATATATATATATATATATATATATATATATATATATATATATATATATTGTTTTTATGGTGCTTTTAGTTAGTTATTACATTATACAGTAGTATTACATWTATATACTGTAAGTAGATAACAAAAATCAATTTTTTGTGGATACAATTAATGCTCGGGTATTAAGTGTACTGTATGTGTAGGGAACGGGAGATTATTTGGTGTAGTAGGGTTGTAGTAGTAGTAGTAGTAGTAGTGATAGTAAAGGGATATATTCAATACATTTATATACATAACAAAAAAAACATTTATACACATATACATACATATATATAAAAAATATATATATACATAAAATAATTATCATAATGTTTGTTGTTGTTGTTTGTATGATATTATTGATTGATCTAGGTTAATTATGCATTGAAACATTAATATAGGATATATATATATTTTAATATATACTGTATAATTTAATTTTAGTAATAATAATAATACTACTAATAGATTAACGTATAGATTAATAAGTATCTTATATTACTATTATTATTACTATTAGTTATATTATATTATACAATATATTATTAACACTAAATACTAATGTTTTAATTGTTAATTTGATTTATTTGTTTTGTTTGATAACACATATTACTAATACTAATAAATTGATTGGTTAGTACTGTTTATATTTGTAATTAACTAATTAATTAATTAAATGTGATGTGAGATCTCTAGTAATAGCCCCTAAATAGCGTCTAATTATTTAATAAATAGATATATAAATATTATTTAGTATATTATATATTATTATTATAGGACAATACGACACATACCTAACTTACCGACGGCACCCGAATTGTTGGCACCCATTGGCCGTATTCGGCTATCATAGCGGCCATCACCGATGATTGAGTCTAATACACGCTTTTCAATGGCTCGGATATTAGCGCTGGCCCTATATATGTATGGGGAACGGTATGTTTGGTTGGTTGGTTGGATAGTAATAGATAATGATAATGAACATACATTAGATAAATGATATAATATTATATAATAATAATAATAATACTGTACAGTATATATATATATATATATTTATAATTTGGTTATATTTAGGTTTAATAGGGCTATATATTCAAGGCTTATAAGTTATAGCTAGAGCTTAGGTAGCTTTTTAATAGCCTAACCTAATCATCCCTCTACTCCAAGAAAAAAACCAAAAAAAAAATCATTATATAAATAGACTATTAGTTTATTAGTTAAGCAAATAATAATAATAATAATAAAATAACGGGTTATTTAAGTAGTGATATCAAACATAATTGTTTTCAATGTATTATTTAAGCATTGAATTATTTTTTAAAAAAATAAATAAATAAATAATTTTTGTTATATTTTATAAAATAAGGTTTAGTTTTGTTTAGTTTTGATAATAAACTTTAAAAAAACAAAATTATTATTAGAATAATAATAATTATACCAAAAAAAAAATAATTAGCAAATTGTTTGCGAAAAAAAACTTTTATTTTATTATTTTTGTGTCTAAAATATAGTATAATTTTTAGGAAATTGTCGCCAGAAATAAATAATTAACATTTTTTCGTATCACACAATTGTTTAGGTTTTTATATATGTATTTAGTTTGATATATTAATTACTTAATTTATATAAAGTTATATCAATTAGCAAAATGATTAATAGATTTTATTTTTTTGGTTTTTTTTGTGAAAGTCATTATACTATATATATATAAATAAATAGTAATAAAATAATACTTGATTTGTTTGCATAATGTGAACCAAAGTTTAATTAATTAATTAAGTAATTTTGTTATTTTTTTGTTGTTGTTTAGTTAAGATAATATCCGTATATACACACAGAAAAATCATTAATAAAACTGGCAATTAATAAGTAAAATAATAGTATATATATAATAGTTTAAGTAAAATAAAATTTAGTATAAATTTTTAATCCAAATAATAATATAAATATTTAATTTATCAAAATTTTTAAAAAAAATGTTTAATCTTTTTTATTGAATAGTAAATTTTGTTGTTGTTGTTATTGTTATCAATATAAATGTTAAAATATAATAAACAATATATATTATTATTATTATTAATATATTTTCAAAAAAAAGTTAATAAAATCACATAAATCACATGATAATAAAATACATGATAAAATAAAATAAAAAAAAACATTTATAGTATTATATTTTACAATACATATATTTAACAACAACAACAACAACAAAAATATTTAACAATTTATTTTGTAGAGATAAAAATAAAACTTATAAATATTAATAAAATTATTTTTGATTTTTTTTGTATTTATTTATTTGACTTACAGTTTTTTACAGTAGATATAAATCAGTATTTTTTTAGTTTCAATAGATTTTTTTGTACATATATAGTATGCGTGTGTATAAAATCGATAACAAATATTAAAGTAAAAAAAAATAAAAAATGTTAAGTCAAATGATAAATCTACATGTTTGATTTTATAAAAAATAAAATATATTTACTTTTACTATTTATACTTTTACAGTATATATAAAAATAATAATTGCAATAATCTGATAATAATTGTAGTTTTTTTTGTTGTAGAAAAATCTTAAAAGTTTAGTAATATTTTAAATATATGAAAAATGGTCTTAACTTTTCAATAAATCTCTCTCTCTCTCTCTCTCTCAATATATATATATATATGTATATACACTATATATATATTTATACATAAATTTATATATATGTATACACTGCATATTACATTATATTTTTTCAATATACAGTACTATATTATTATTAATATAAATTTATATTTATATAATAAAGTATATAATAAAGTAGTCTTTTAAAAAATAAAAATTAAATATCAAACACATAAATAATTGACTCTACTTTTATTGATCTCTTTTTTTATTGTATATAAAAAAAATAAAAAATAAATTTTTATATAAAATTTATAGTTGACACATCAATTATTATACAATTTTTTTTAATATATTGTATATATTGATAAAAATATATTTGTTTATCTTATAAATATTGAACATCAAAATGATGTGATATATTTGAAAAATAATTAAATAACTTATTTATATTACATTATCCGATAGACATATATTATATATATAGATATAATAGTTTATAATAAGATATATAATATTAATATATGTTTTATTAGATAATATAAACTTATATTGAATAATATATGATGGAAATTGATAGTAAATTATTATTATTATTAATTTATCATTAATTATTAGTAGTTATAATTCACTAAAAAATTAAATACGAAATAATTTAATAGACTTTAATAGACTTATTTAGATAAAACTAGAAATATATTTTAAATTATAAATTATCACTGTATTAAAAAAATAAAATAAAAATCTTAATTAATTATATATACAAATATTTGATTGATTAATTAAATTCATTAAAAAAATAAAAAGTTAATATAAAAAGTTAATAAAAATTAATTTAGAAAAATACTTATAAATATATATATTTTAATAATAAAAAAAACACGTTATTAATTGTCATTCAATAAAATGGTTTTATAGTTATAATAGTAATCAAAATGTTTAATCAAAAATGTTTAAAAACATAATATTATTTTATATATATATATATATAATTTTTAACTTAAATAAAATATTATTATTACTAATCAAATTTAGCACATTTTACTTGAAAAAAATATATAATAATAAATATTTTCCATAATTTTTTCCCCCATTTTTTGTGGGGAACATTATGCGGAATATTTCAATAATAATAATACCGTTTAGTATCGAACCCTAACTTCCAATCATATTATAATACAATTGTATACTATTTTATAGACCAATGAGAGTCAAGCAATCGTATGATTTGAATGATTGAATGACAAACACATTATTATATTATTATTATTATTATTATTATTACAACACGTGTTGTGTTTTACATACGGTTTTTGTATTGAATTTATTGATTGATTGATTGTTTAGAGAAAAACACGTGTTTTTTGTGCCGACAATACCGCGTTGTAGTCATGATTACCGCTACCGCAATGGCCAACAACAACAACAATAACATGATGATGAACAATAAGCTATCGATGGCCATCGGTCTAACAGTGGCCACAACGGCGGCCACCTATTGGCTGTACCAAAGTTACCGCCGACGACAACAATATGACGATTATGAGGACAACACGGCAGTCACCGCCGCTGCTTTTACCGCTACCGATGACCAGGACGAGGAGGACAATAGCAACTGGTCACTGGTATTGCCCGTACGGCGATTGTGTCGTTATGTGACCGCTGCTGTACTGAACGGCGTCGGCAATGGCAGCGGTGGTGGATCAGTGGTGGTCAGAGTACGCCGTCAACTGAACACACACTACGTACACGTACCGCGACATTTGGTTCCCGGATTGATCGGCAAATCTGGTCAAAATATCAAACAACTGGAGCTGACCACCGGTACATCGATTAGGTTTGCCCGCGAACTGGACGTTACAGTAGACGACGGCACTACTATGGACTGCGGCGGCGATGGTATCATCGACCTGACCCATGCAGTTACCGATGATGATGACGACGATTGGTGTGACAACCCGAATGCTAAACTAGCCAAACGTTTGCCCGACTACCGAACAATGGCCATTGTTGGCGAACCCGATCGATGTCGTCAGGTGGAGGAACACATTCGCGAGTTAATTGTGGCCAACATTTGGGAACGCCTTGAGTTGCCGCCCGGTTGTAATATTGTCGGCAACGGCGGCGAAACGATTGGCCGCATTGAACAAGAATCGGGCGCCCGATTGAAAGTGGAAGGTTCACGAAACGCTGCGCTGAGGTCAGTGGTCATTATTGGCGACGATACGGAACGGCAACGGGCCCGACAATTGGTACAATCGGTAATCGATGAGTTTAACAACCGTAACAATGTTTGATTGGTTGGATTTGATGACACGATATGATATACTTAATGGACAGTTAGGTCATACACACACACATACACACAAAGTATGACTGACTGGTCAGTGATACGAGAGATTGATTTTGAAAATACTTTTTTGTTTTTTTTATATTATAGAAAATATGATTTAAAAAGTCATTTATCATTTGTTTTATGTTTTTTTTTACTAAACAATGGCATATAATATGCACAACAAAAACATTATATATATATATATTTCATTCAACTATTTGTTAAATTTTTTAAAATTATTTTTGTTATTAGTATTATTTAAATTTCATTTCATATTAATTAATGATTTATATATATATATATTATCAACAAAAAAAACTTTTTTTTTTTTAAAAATCTGATTATTAATTGCTGTAATTTTATAGTTTGTAATTATCTGATTCATAAATTTATATATATTTATATAAATTTTGTTTCATTTATTAATTTATTGGCCAAAAAAAAAAATGAAAACATCATTAAGCTATTAAAGACAATAATTATTATGTTATTGGCTTATAGTAGTAATAGTAATAAAATTAATTTATTTTATTTATATAATTGTTTGTTTCACCAAACAAAAAAATAATAATAATAAAATGTTATTTGTTTGACTAATATTTGTAATTTTTTTTATATAATAATAAATATATCTATTATTTATATTTATTATATATAATAAGATATCGTATACAGTATACAATACTTGACATTTATCTATCTATACTTGTATTGTATTGTAAATCATATAAAATAAAAACAAAAATATTTACGATATTATATATAATATATTGATATATACTATATATGAGATAAACAACAACAACAAAATAAAATTGTATTATTGTATAGAAATGACTGTCATTTTTGTCATATATATATAATATTATATATATACTATCATATTATTTATGACAATTAAATTTATTGATAAATATATATAATTCATTATTATTTGTGTCTATCAAATAATATTATGGTATTA